TTTTCTAGGCTTTGAACAAATCTGATGTAGTCTTTTTTTTGGCGATGTTCGATGCAATTGATGGCGCTAGGCACAGTCGCACAGTCCCTAGGGCTTTGCGATTCAGAACATCCCACTTTGCTTGCTCCATATCCGCTGGCTTCTTCTTATCGATAGGTTGATAAAGATCTTTCTGATACAGAATATCCTCCATCTGCATCTTCCAAAATGCGTAGTTTGTGCCATTGAATTTTTTGATCTTAACTTTGTCTTCTGCCATTGTGTAAACCCTTGACCTCTTAACCTAGAGCTCTGATACCAGTTGTTGGGATTTAACAATAATTTAAATTCACTAACAAACACACACAATCGAAGAACACATCAAGAATATAAAGCAATAAGAAACAAGAAAGAACAAGACACAAATTTTACGTGGTTCGACAATTTGCCTACGTCCACGAAGTTGCAGGGATTTCACTATTGAGAGAGTTGAATACAGAAAGCGACTGTACAATCCACTATTTTAACCCTAATCACCAAAACAACGAATTTTATATGTCCTACGCTTTATGGACTAAGCCTAAGAAAATTTTATATTAACCCTAATCACCAAGAACAAGCCTTTGCTCCATGGACTAAGTTTCAAAAAATTTTCCATTAAAAAATCACATAACATTACTTCGGTGTCGGGTTATCATCCGGATCACATATACAAACTAGACTCCACAAAAAAACCAACAGGAGGAACACGTGAGCTCCCTTTGCACTGAGGGCTTACTAGACGAGGGGCGATCTGGTGTGGTCTTTGGGCATTCTGGCGAGGGACACCATGGTGGGGGGCTGCATGGCGCCTAGAAAGGATAGGCTATTGTTCTTCACCAGTTGGAGGGAGTGAGACTCCTCCCACGGGGTGAGGAGCAATGCCCCATTGGGCGAGCATCAGTTGGATGATCTGCTGATTTTGATTCACCAGCAACTGCATGATTTGGAGGAGCTGTTGTCTGACGACGGGGGTCGCCGTAACAGATGGTTCGGATGGTGCGAGGGGAGGCAGAGCCTCCTCCCGGTGAGTCGAGTTATTGTCTCCCAGTTATTGGCTCATTGATCGGGTAGTGATAACCATGGATTGGAAGGGTAGGAAAACTAGTCGTTTCTCACAAATGGCGCCAAACTGATGATACACAAATTGGCTTTGCGCAAGATTAACAGTCAAGAATGTGTAAGGGTGCAATTAATGAACAATAAATAGACAATCAATGATAGAACAATAAATAAAGAAATATCATAGAGATTTATAATGGTTCAGTTCGGGTGACCTACTCCATTCTCGGAAACGATAACGGTGGCCTGAGTCTTTTATTAATGAATGAAGTTGTAGAAGAGAGTATTCTCCAAGAGTATTACAAGTCTTAGAGGGAGAGGGAGAGAGAAGCAATGTGTGTAAGAAGGTGTAGTATGTGTAGAGATTTCAAGGTGATGAAGGCCTACCCTCTTTGTGCAGAGGACTTTCATTATATAGGTTCACCAAGGCGGTGAGACAGTGATGTGAGAAAGGGGGTTTCTATCATTTTGGTAAGTATAATTTTAGTAGGATTGAATCTCCGTATCTTGATATTCTCTCTCTTGTACTCCTATTTCGTCGTCGGAGGATTCTGAGCTGGACTTGAGTTGGTGGGTGCTGGACTTGCATTGGAGTCAAGAGGACGTAGGAGGACAAGAGAGTGACCTTGGGCGGCGCGCCCCAAGTGCTTGACTTTGGCTCTTGGTGCTTTGGGTGCTGACCTCATGGGATTCCACCTCTTGGACGTCTGCCTCTTGGGTGTTGGCCTCTTGGGCGCTGGCCTCCTGAATATTGGCCTCTTAGACGTCCGTTTCTTGGCTTAGGCTTCACCTGACTTCTTGTTGATTTACGAGCGGGTCACTTGACTCCTTGTTGATTTACGAGCGGCTCTCGTGATTTGGACTCCTGGGTTGATCCGACTTCGGCTTAATTTTTCTTTGAACTTTCTTGATTTATTTAGATTGGACTTGGCCCAACCAAATTTGGACTCATCAACAACGCCACTCTAACCCATCACCCTTACCTTGCCACCCCCACCCCCACCACTTATGCAAGCTCTCTCCATCAAGGGTTAAGCGAAAAATTTCGTGTAGTGTAAACATATTACTTACAAGTTTTAATTTTTTTTCGATCAATAAAAATAAAATAATATATTCAAATTTAATGCATTATATTTAATACTATTAAATTCAAAAAATACAAAAAAAGCCACTAATAAGGATTAAATGACAAAAAATAAAACCTCTCCCAATAGTTGATTTCCTTAACTTTCTTTCACTATTGTTGTATTTTATTTAAAAAATATTATTTGAATATTTTCAAGATAATCACAACCATTTATTTTTAATAATAATCACACAATCTAACAATAAAAAAAAAAAAATCGTGTGAGGCATATAAAATACTTAATTGTTTTTAGAACACGGTGAGAATTCTATCCGGTATTAGAAGCCCAAAGAAATGGCCACACTGAATCTCAGCCGTTCATTTCCCTCAGTCGCCGGTTGGAATTCTCCGTGCCAGAAATTCACACAACCCACCAAACCAACAATCTCATGCTCCAACTCTCATCTCCCAGGCAAGGTGAGTGGAGGAGTCACCGAGTGCTTTTTTGACTTTATCTTCAATTTCTGTTCACAAATTTATAGCCGTGTTTTTTTTTATGCAGTTTAAGAGACCGTACACGAGCGTGATGATAGTCCCAACCGGTGTCGGAGCCTCCATTGGTGGCTTCGCCGGAGATGCTCTGCCGGTGGCTCGGACGCTCGCCTCCGTCGTTGACTGCCTCATCACTCATCCCAACGTATGTATGACATGTTTCTCTCTCCACCAACACAAGCATTCACACAGTCGCGCACTTTGTGGGATTGTAAGATTCACTGGCATTTTCGTTATTTTACTGATTTACAAGGCTAGAATAGAGAAAGAATGGATCAAAAGGCAATTCGTGTAGTCTTTTTTGAGCCGACGCTGGGCCTGTGTATCGGGAATGTTTCATGGGCTTCCCAACGGTCGATCTATATAATAAAGTATTATAATTTAATTTAAAATTTAAAAAATAAATAAAATAATTTTTCTTATTCACGGTGGAGATTGTTTTAAATTTTATTTTAAAGTTAATTTAACAGATAATATTAATGCTCTAAATTTAATAAAAAAAATAGGCTCTTAAAGGTATATTTGGAGAGACATTTTAAAAGTATTTTTAAAAAGTAAAAATTATTTCTTATAACTAATTTAAAAAAAATAGTGTTTGCAAATTTGAAACCACCGCACCACTAACTCTACCACAACCACGCTCCACCACCACCAGCACTGTCACCCCCACCACCCCCACCCCCACCCCCACCAGCACTGCCGTTGCTAGAATCACTATCGCCACCATACCATACCCACCGCCACCGCCATCGTCATCGCCACCACCATCACCATAACCACTACCACCACCACCCCACCATCATCACTACCACAACCATCATCGTCCCACCACTTCTATCGCCCCACCACCACCATCCTTAATCACCACCGCTGTTGCACCTTACCCCCACCTCTACTGTTCCACCATTATCCCTACCACCCCCACCGTGATCATCACAACTACCACCACCATTGCCAACCCACCACCGCCATCTCCACCCTCACTGCCCCACCGCTGCCACCACCACCATTGCCACTCACCATCGATTGTTACCATCGTTGTTCATGGCCACCACCCACCGCAATCGTTATCTTATTCTTATATTTATTATCATTACCACCATCATCCTTTACCTCCATCAGCACCCACCACCCCCCCCCATCGTTGCCCACCATCACTACCAACCATTATCACCTGCCCCACCACACCTACCACCACCAACCACAATCAACTGTCATTGTCCATTACTGCAGCCACCTATTGTCACCTATCATCACCACACTTGCCATTGCTGTCATTTGCCACCACTCATCACACTGTCACCTAAAAACACCCATCATTGCCCACCACCACTGTGGTTGTCCCACCACCACCAGTGCCAACCATCATCACTGTCGTCCACTACCACCCACACCTACCAGCACCACCATTGTCACCCACGGCTATTACCACCATTACGATCGTCGCCTTACCCACCACAATCATCACCGTCTCCTACCATCACTACTGTCGTCCAACACTACTACCACCGCTCACCTCCACTACAATCGGTGTTTAAATTTATTTATATCTCCTCTATGTTTGTGATTTGATTTTGGGTGTAAATACAAATATGTTGACAATTTTTTTTATTACTTCGTGATTTCAGGCACGAGAAATAACTAGTCTATATAATAAATTACAATACAATTCAAATCTTAAATGATAAACAAAATAACTTTTACTATTCGCGACTGAGATCACTTTAAATTTTACTTTAAAGTTAATCTAAGGGTTAATATTAACACTCTAAATTTAATAGGAAAATAGACCCTTAAAGGTGTGTTTAGAGTAACTTTTTAAAAGTACTTTTAAGAATTATTTCTGATAAGTACTTTAAAAAAAAATAGTGTTTGAAACCGCCCTACCACTAACTCTACTACCACCACCCCCACCGCTCCACCACCACCACCACCACTATTACAACCATTGTCGCTGCCGCTACTGTCACCACCATCACCCTCAACCCCACCACCATCACCACCGCCGCCACAATCACTATCACCACCTTACCATACCTACCACCCCACCACCACCACTGTCACAGCTGCCACAACCTTACCACCACCATCACCACTTTCATTGCCCTATCACCACCGTTGCTACTGCCACAACCTTACCACTACTACTACCACCCCCTACCATCATCACTACCATTACCACTATCAGCACCGCCCATCACTACCCACCACCACCCATCACCACCCCACCACCACCGCCACCACTACTGTTCCACCACCACCACCACCGCCGTCCCACCACCACCATCCCTAATCACCCCCACTACCCCCACCATCACCACCATCCCTATCACCACCGCTGTCGCACTCTCCCACCACCGTTACTGTCCCACTATCACCCTTACCAGCCCCACCACCACTCCCATTACCATCGCAACTACCACCATTATCGCCAAACCACAACCCTCACCCCCACCCCCACCCCCACCCTTTCTGCCCCACCCCCACCATCGCGACCCACCACCGATTGCTATCATTCTCTTCCATAGCCATCACCCACCACCACCGTTATCTTATTCTTATATTTATTACCATTACCACAATCATCTTACTACCGTCGTCGCCTATTGTCAACACCCATCACCACCCACCATCGCCCACCATCGCCACCAATCACTATCACTTACCCCACCATACATATTACCACTATCCACCACCACCAGTCATCATCTACCACTGCAGCCACCCACTGTCACCTATTCCCACCACACTTACCAATGCCGCCATTCTCCACCTTTTTGCCTAGAAGCACCCATCGTCATCCACCACCACCATCATCACCGCCCGCCACCACCGTCGTCGTCCCACCACTACCACTGCCAACCACCATCACCGTTGTCCACCACTACCACCATTGTCATCCACAGTCGCCACTGCCATCATCGTCACTCAAAAATCCACCACCACCACGATCACCATTGTCACCCACAACTGCTACTACCACCACGGTCGTCGCCTTACCCACTACAACCATCACCATCTTCCACCATCACTACTGTCGCCCATCACCTCTACCACCGCTCATCCCCATTACAATCGGTGCTTAAATTTATTTATCTCTCATCTATATTTGTGAATTGATTTTGAGTGTGAATATAAATATGTTGACCATTTTTTTTATTACTCTGTGCCTTTAAGTACGAAAAATAACTAGTTCTATAATATAAAACATGATAGATTTCACACGAATTATATATGATTTATAGATTTGTATACGACACAAACTCAAAATAATTCAAAAACTTTACACGTACATAAATTTAACGAGTATATTGAGTAGGGGCCGAGTGTAGGCAGAGTAAATTTTGACATGAAACGAGTTGAAAACAACTCATTAACATTCCTACTTCCAACATCCTTATGATACCCCATTGAGGCCTAACCATTCGGGCTAACCCTTGGGTTAGCTAAAGAATTACTACTAGTTGGATTTTCGCTTCTTTGCTGGCTATTGCATTATGCTTGACTCTGTGACATTGAGGATGGTCCTATATGTAACAATTTGATGTGCTCCCTTTTCTGACTTGTTGACCAAAATAGGGTCTATAGTGGGGAGAAAAGATAATGCAGAGAACTTTAGGAGGGAAACAAGCTGGCACATAGAGGCATGTCCCAAAAAAGACTATAGCTAGGGTTGCATATGTATAATTCATGTGGACTAATAAACATGCTAAGTTGAGCTGAGTGTTAAGTTGGTTAAGCTCAGTTAATGAACATATGCGCCTTTAATTAAGCTACCTTATTTATCTATTGAACAATCATATATGAGGTCAAGTAGCTTTGTTTATGTATGTACAAGGATATGAGCACGTGTGAGCTTATCATGTTGAATTCATATTGGAATCTCAGAAGTATGATTGAGTTGGTTCATTTACTTCTTGAATGATCGCAAGCGAGCTTCTAATTTTATCTGATCTTCACTATGCTCATTTAGCCAAAAATTGCTCTTCTTTTACATGCCTATGTTTTTGCTATCTCAAAATTGGCATCTAAATGAGCTTCATCAATTACTTATTTGCACTATATTGTTCATGGCACTTAATGAATCCATGGAATCAGTAAAAACCAAAAGACTGGCGCTTACCATGTCAATTGTGGAAAGTAACGATGAGCAATTTTAAGAACATTTTCAAACCTCGGGTAGTCACACCCTCCCCTGGCATGCGAGCCATCCTTGCAGTAGAACATCTTCAAATGTACACTTAAAGATTTAAATATAACAGAGTAGATGACCTTGCGAAATGACAGTGAAGTGTGCCAATTATACTAATGTCTGGAATTACACAAGTGAAGCCTTTGCTTTTCCATAGCTTAATTCCTCCCATTGTAAATTTTCAATTCTTATAGGTTCTTAATGCAGCAATGCTTTATTGGCCTATGCCGAATGTATTATATGTTGAGGGTTATGCTCTTGATCGATTACATATTTGCAATATGTTGTTCATGACACGATGAATCCATGGAATCATTTAAAAGCCAGAAGACTGGAAATAGGAGCAGTGGGTTTACCAGGTCAATTGTGGACGGTAATGGTGAGCAGCAAGAGAAGCAGTTCTTACAATTTTGCATATTCATGTTTTTACTCATGTGGAAAGAGACTGGAACTTTAAATGAAAAAGTTGGGGCAAACTCTATGTATCTGTAAGAGTCCCTTACCAAATACCATATTATCTAAATAATATTTTCAAAGGGGTGGTCACACCCTCCCCCGGAATACGATCCATCATTGCATTAAAACATCTTCAAACCTTTCAATATAAGAGATTAGGTGGCCTTGCAAACGACAGTGAACTTTGCCAAATAAACTAATTGCCAGGAATTACACAAGCGAATCCTTTGCTTTTGTGTAGCTCAATTCCTCTCATTGTAAATTGGTAATTCTGGCAGGTTCTTAATGCAGCAATGCTTTATTGGCCGATGCCAAATGTATTATATGTTGAGGGCTATGCTCTTGATCGATTTGCAGAAGGCCTATGGGCACTACAACCAGTTCACCAGAATAGGGTATGGTTGAAGTCTCTTGACTACTTTGTTTCTCTAGGGAGGATCACATGTCTGGTGTCACAGAAAGTGATGCTGCCACGTCTTTTTTATATGCTTAGCTTGTGACCACTTTATTAAAATTTCGTCAGATGAAACAGGTGGGACTGGTTCTTGACGCTGGAATAGAGGAAGAGCTTTGCATTCGCCATCTACAAGCAGTTGATGCTACAAGAGCTTCCCTTGGTTTTCCTGTTGTCGAGTATATTGTCACTGACACCCCTTTACTGGTATTTATATAACATGCTATTTGAACTAAGGGTATATTACGACAACCACATCCCCTGACATTTTGAGCTTATACTCCATGCCACTTGGCATTATATATGTCAAAGATATCCCCAATTGGAAAACTTTATGAAGAAATGACTTCTTATTCACTTACCAGAAAAAGAAATGAATTTTTTAAATACTCCTTATCAAAATCGGAAAGAGCAATAACTTTTTTTGGGGGGTGGCGGTAAAAGACCCAACCGAGCGGTAGCAACCCCTTGATGGCCCCTCCTTCTGCCCTGTGCACCTGCAACCCCCCTTTCTCAACAATATTAACCCCCCTCTCCTCCCCAACTTCCACACCCCCCGTGTGTGTTGTGGTGGTTATTTTGGGGTGGGGAGGGGGGTTATTAATTGTGATAGTGTTTGGTGGTGGTGATCCTGACCTAGGTTGGGGGGTCAGTGTTGGATAGAGAGGGAACAAGTAGAATAGGCAGTCTTTTGCTACAAGGTTTATTTCATTTACATGAGGAAAAAATTTGGGAATAGGAGAATAGGATTATTTTGTTCCAGCAAGGAATAAGGGACGCAATATTGAAAATATTGATATTATTTTTGCCGATGCCATCTTTCTTCAGTGTTGGAGAAAGTCTTGCTGTTCCAATTGCCAAATGTCAAAGGTTTGTCGTGTTAATATTGAAATGCCAAGAGGTGGCTGGATAATTAACGGAAGTGTCTGATCTAATCGAAGTCAACCGACTTAATGGAATACGGGGTGAGTCTTCACCGAATGGAAGTGTCTTTGTAGCTTATTCTAAAAGTAAATGCTAATTTAGTCAATTAGGACTGTCCGCCCGTTCTTGAAGGAGTCTATGCTGCTTTCGTATTACGCTATTAGTCTGCACAAACCTTTTGGATTGACAGTATTTTTTGAGACATTTAATTTTTCACTTCTGTGTCTATCCTGAGGGATAAATGCTTGGTGACTGATAAACATCCCTCGGATGAAGTAACTGTGTATAGGTATCACTTGAGGAAAGCAGTTCAATTTGTGTCACCACTGTAAAGCAGAAAATACTCCTCAAAGCCATTTAATGTGCTATTATTGAAAATGTCTTAACTTATGTTGAGACTTTATGGTTGATTAGTTGGAGTCAATACTTGACATGCTACAGCTTGTAAGGGAATTACTTTCTGTTTTCCCTTTTGTGCTCAACAATTCAAATGTCGTTGCCTTGCAATGAATTTACACTTCTGGGAGCATTGAGTTTTCAATTAGTGCAGCAGCTGGAATATAACACATCTTTGCAGGTGGAGAAATGGGTTGATCTGAAGAGTGGACAATCAACTGGGAGGATAAAACATCCTGATTCCCTATTGCGAGCTGTAGAGAAATTAATTGAGCAATCAATGGTGAATGCCGTTGCAGTTGTAGCACGCTTCCCAGATGATGATACTGAAGATATAGATGAATATCGACAAGGGATGGTATGGCAATTAGATAGTTGCATGCATGCTTCTTTACTGGCAAAATGCTTTGCTTGTCAAATTTTCTGCAGTCTTACCCCTAATGGTTGAGTTATGTTTTACTCTGGTGGTAAGTTGAGGGTTGTTATGCATGTTGATTGTTGACATTCAGTGAACAGTAATCTTTTTTTTTCTGAATATGTGGGGTACTACCCCTTACCGGGTTTTTTTGTGTTTCTAAATCATTGTTTAGAACTAAAATGTCAATGATTCATGAGTGGTACTACAATTTGATATCAAGGAATATATTTGTGAAAATCCTGCAATTTATAGTGAAAGAACATACCGCTTCTTCTCAGCATCAATGTTTGCTTTTATTTCTGTTTTATCTTAATGTGGCTTTGAGAATGTCCATATTGTTACTCACTTGCAGCTAATTTTCCAATGGTCATTGGCTGCCGAAATTTCTGAGTCAGAATATAAATTCCAAATATGTACAAAATGATTCTGAATTCTAAATAAATTTTCAGCCATGGATGGCCGTGTATACTTGAATCCATTTTGATACTATTTTTATTTGAATGAATGTCACTGAATTGTGTAGGACTAGCCGATACCATCGATTATGTATGTTGTTCCACTTGATGTTCTTAACGCTGCAGGGGATAGATATTTTGGCAGGAGTGGAGGCAGTTATAAGCCATCTAGTGGTGCAGAATTTTGGGATTCCCTGTGCACATGCCCCTGCACTATCATCCCTTACTCTAAGCATGTCAGTATCTCCAAAATCATCCGCTGAAGAGGTGAGTCAAATTTTCTGGGGAAACACAAAACTTCATGGTCTCTGAGATGTTACTACAAACTGTCTTGCTGAACATGCATGTATGATTGTGCTTGATTGGGTGGACTTGACTGCATATGCTCCTTTGAACTCAATATTCTGTTATGAACATTTAAATTCCAGTGTCGAGGATTTAAAATAGTCAAGAAAACCAAGAGTACGGAGATTGAGTCTACTAGAATTAAGGTCTCATGCTCTAGGAGAAATTTGGTTTATAACAGATAAAGGATCTGCTTCTGTTTGATAAGAGGAAATCTTGTATGAAATATAGATAGTTATATAATTGTTTACTGTGGTGGCAATAGGATATGAATTTAATTGTAATGGGTTGAAGTAGCTGCCATCTCTATTTTACTAGGTTTGATTATCTGAAATGAGGCTGAATATTATTTCTTGTTGGCTAAAAAATTAGAATTTCTTCAATTTCATTGATTGCTAAATTCTTCAGTTATATGGATTACAGACATCAGAATCATAATGATATGCAGCCTCCCTCAACAGCATGAACACATTCTCTTCATCTTCTTTATCAGCGAAAAACAGAATCAGGATAGAGCTTTTATTGGGAAAACATGTCCTTGTGTAGCTTAATTGGCGAACATGCATCTTCTCATAAAAACACTAAGATCATTAAAAATATTGTATATTTAATTCATCTTGATAAGAACCCACAAAAGCTGCGTCAAAAAGTTCATATCATGTATATGCATTTATATAGCCAATATGTGGCACAGGGAAACCATTAACCTCAGCTCTGACCCCGTTATACCATAAATTATGAGCATGCTCTTTCCGTGCCTCGGCTTTCTCTGGTTAGTGAATTCTTTATTATCTCTCTGTCTGTCTCTCTCACTTAGAAGTTTTATTTAAATCTAACAGATAGGATACACATTCTTGCCATGTGTGCTTGCTGGCCTTAGCAATGCACCTCAGTACATGGTCAGGAACTTTGAATCACTAGAAAAGGGTTGCATATTAGCAAGTGATGTTGACAGCGTCATTCTTCCAATAGATGCTTGTGGTGGAGATGGTGCTCTTGCATTCGCAAATGCTAGAAGAAACAAGGTACATACTTTATGTCATCGAGCAAATTGGCCTCATAGCAAAATAACTTGTTCTGACTTACCCCATCCTGCTGTATAGCTTTATAGTTTTACCATGAGCAGGTACTTAGCAACTGCTATCTTGTAATTGCCAATCCTTGACTTTGCTGCAGCCCCTTATAATTGCTGTGGAAGAGAATGAGACAGTACTCAATGATACACCAGATAAACTTGGGATTGAAGCGGTAGGGTTTGAACAATCTGCACGTTTTTTTCTGCTTTGTTTTGGTTTTCGACTTTTCACTTGTTGTTTTATGAGTATCTTTATGTTAGTTATAAAGGTCTAGGTAGGATATGAGGCTTCTTTGCCACCGTCGTTCAGTTTTTAAACTGCATAATGCCAAAAGCAAATTACTATATGCCTACAATAATTGCTGAAGTGATTCACCGATATGGTATGCATGTTCTTCTCAAAGTTTGCAGATTTAGAAGTCCCTTATTGTCAATATGAAGTGCCATATTTTCAGCTACTAGGCCATTAAATCATGCTCGTTGAAGCCATTCTTTTTTGGGATGCATCATATCAAACATCCTCACATAGCCAGCAATAATTGTTCCTTGATGCTTCAAGATTCTGTTTATAAAGAAAACGGGATTTCTCTTTCAGGTCAAGGTCTCAAACTATTGGGAAGCAATTGGTGTCATTGCAGCTCATAAGGCAGGAATTGACCCTGATTCTCTCCGAAGAAACAGAATTAAGAACATTCGACACACATCCTCCTTCCCTTCTTTAAATGGTAATTCTGTTTCGAGCGCCAGATTATTTTCTTAACAAAAGTAGATCAACAATTCAATTTTTTTAACCCATTATCATTTTCAAATATAAAAGTAGTACATTTTGATTCACAGTACTCTTCTTCTGTTCATTGTCATCTTTTGTATTTGATATGTATAGTGAAAGAATGCATGCATAGCTTTCATTTCTGCTAATGGAGGAAAAGTTTTCTGGGCATGCTTTAGTGTTGTGTACCAAGCACCGTGGATGAGTATACTAATGAACTGATGAAGACAGGAAACTTTCTGAAGTCAATCAGTTGAATTTGTCCTTCATGTTGCCATTTTGGAACAAGCGCCCGTTTAACTGGTAACACTAATGTTCAACTTTTCAAAAGAGTATAATAGTTTATGAAACACAAAATTAGGTCGACAATTATTTCTTGTCAGGTTTTGTTTGTGTCTTATTAATTCAGATTCGTGTTGAGCACAAGTCAACCTATTTAATTAACTCGATATGTTTATTTTTGTTTATGGTCATAGTTGTTAGTATCGTACGATACGCGATACGTATCGTACGATATGTTACGATACAGAGGTAAACTGATATGAATCGTAGTTTTGTATCGTTTTGTGTGTTGTACTGTCCGATACACGATGCGTTTTTACGATACGATTTGTATCAGTATGATACGGACGATACACGCATATGCTGTTTAATTTATTTTTTTTTGTTTTGGGTTGGAATGACGTCTTTTTGTGTTAGAGGCTGATTTCTCCATTCTTCATTTCTTCTTCGCCGGGTTCTAGGTATTCTTCATGACGACAAAAACACAGTAGTCCAAGTCTCTCCTCTCTCCATTCTTTGTTTCTTCTTTGCTGGGTTGTAGGTGTTTTTCATGACGACGAAAACACAACAGCCCATGTCTCTGTCTTTTCTTTGTTCTTCAGAGTGATGAATTCTAGCCCGTCTCTCTATCCACTTTGTTCTTGATGACAACGAAGCTCAGTGTGTCGAAGCCCCTAGTGCTTCAAGACTACGAGCCCAGTCTCCATGTTCTTCATCGACGATGAAGGTTTGTTCCTCTCAGTATGTCTAAACCCACTGTCTCTCTTCTTTCTGTGCTTCATCGACGAAGGCAGCAAAATCTGAGAAGCTATTGAAGCAGTCAAGCCAGTTGCTGCCTTTGATCTGGATCCGAAGCTGCAATTGCCTTCTTTTTTCTTCTTCAGTGCTTCAGTAAAATCTGTGCAGTATAAGAAATGCTGTTAATTTATTTACAAAATCAAATATATATATTTTTTTATTTTTTTGTATCAATATTTCTGAATCTTGATTCTTGATTAATGTTAATTTTTTGAAGCAATGGCATCCCCAACATCCTATTTCTATATGAAAATGACAAAAATTTGCTAATGATCCCACATGGGAACATTGTGAAAAAGTAAATGGATTAAGGTTGAAATTGAAATGCATTCATTGTACAAATGTCTATTGGGAAGATATTTTTAGAATGAAAAATTATTTGGCAAGTAATCGTAAAGATGTAGCGTCATGTAAGCATTGCCTTGAAGAATGATGTAGCGTCATTAAAGACTTGTTGGCATCCAATCATAATTATGATGATGATGACGCATTTTCAATTGAAATTGAAGATTGATTTCAAAATAGATGTTAGAAATTTAAATTAGAAGTCTCTTGGGTATTTGAAGTTTGAATTAGTGAACTATGATAGGAACTTTGTATTATAATATTAGTGAACTATGTTGATGACTTGAATAGTTGATGTAGTATTTGATGAAATACTATGTTTTTATGAGTCTATGATTTTTTTTTCGAAAAATATATATATTTTATTATTATTTATTTAAAATTGTACCGTATCTTACGATATACGATACGATACGATACACTATTTTTAAAAAAGATACGTCTTCTAATACACGATTTGATAACTATGTTTATGTTCATGTTGACACACATAACTTGTGAATAAAAAAAATAACACTAAGATTTAATTCTAAAATTTCATTATTTGTTAATTGAACTCACATTCGTAGTTTATGAAATAAGCTAAAAATTAACTTTGTATGTATAATATTATAAATTAGTAAAACAATTCTATTCTTGTAAAAAAATTACGCCAATACTTGATAAAAAAATGGGGGTGAATCACATTTTTGCACCCCAAAAGACCTCAAATTCTCAATATACACCTTTAATGCTTAATTTTTTTACATTGCACTCTCAATGTTATAAAATGGTTGCAATATGACCCTAACACCAATTTAAGTTGTCATTTTTATTAAACCTCACTGCATTGAGTATGGTGGCCACAAAGCAGATTTCACGGAAATGTAACGAAAGTTAGTTTGGGTCATATTGCAATCATTGGTGCGATGTGAGAAAATTAAGGGTTCAAATTGAAATTCTTGAAATTTTTTAGGGTATAAAGTGTGAATAATCCTAAAATGCATTCTATTCATACAACACTAGTTAAATGTATTAAGAGAGTCAGTTTTGGGATATTTGTGTTTGACAATAACTTGATTTATTTTGTCATATCATTTTTAGATTTATGTCAAGATATGATCGATCCTAACTTTTTAATTCTGTGCTTGTTTTGAGTCGTACTTACGTGGCATGTTAGAAATTGTCACTCTTACACAACCATCGGTCAAATTCTGTTTTTATTGTTTCAAGGCTTGAAAATCTGTTGAAATTCAATACATCATTGTTTCAATGTGTTTGGTTTTTATGTTCTAATTTGTAACCATCAACAAGTTTCTATCAGAGTAGGGCATAGCTGTCAGTAAGTAAATTTTTTTGTTGACTTTCTGGCAATTACCTTGAGAAAGTAGGATGATGTTGACATTTCTTGCATGAAGATTACATATAGCTGTTAGAATAACAGTATTGCTAGAGTAATGCTATTAAGATCTAAAAATTGATCTAATTTATTGATATAATAATGTATTAAATTATAGAGTCCCGATAAAAAAGTCTAATTGTTATTGTCACAACCTTATTATTGGATAGTATTGTGGCCACTTTATTAAATCAACAATTTAGATTGATTTTTGAGGTACCAATAACATTAGTTTAATTAGGTCAATATTTTCAGTACTAATAACGTTACTCTAATTGTTATGTTTTTTGTGTGGCAAGTTTAAACTTTGCAAACCCAAGGGCTAGCCTAATGATAGTTCAGCCTCTTGATAAGTCTCTCATGTAGGGTAGGTTAGGGGTTCAAAACTAGTCCAATCACTTGATAAATCTCTCATATGGTGTTGGTTAGGGTTCGAATATCTCACGAAGCATAATCTCTTAGAGCAGCTACCCATAAATTTTACCCATTTGTGTGGGGAAACGGTTTTGCACAAGATCCAGTTTCACTCCAGTATATGAGTGGAGAAGTACTACAGTAATTTACTGTAACTTTGCACTCTTAAACGATGGTTCTACTTAGGCCTGACAATCGTGTCGAGTTGAACGGTTTTGTGTCGGATGGAACGGATTTGTGTCAAAAAATCCTTCATTCATATCTCATTCGTTTATATAAACGAGTTCAACTATCACACCCATACACAAATCATTTATTAGACGGGTTATCCGATACAACTTGTGTATCACCCGCTAAGTAAAAGAATATGTTAGAGTATTTCAAGTACACACAAAAAATCAACTTGCTACACATTACACATATTTGACATATTTATTATAATAATAAATCATGGCTGAGCAAAAAAATAAAGACAAAAAATAAACATTAAATAACTACTAAATTTGAATGAGTTTAAGAGATGAGAGATGTGAGATGAGGTAGAAGAGACCTAATTTTTTTTAAAAAAATTTATAGTACAACTGTCAACGGGTTGAAACGAATTTATAGGTTAAACACGAAACCAGTTCATTTATTTCACAGGTCTGCCAAGTTAACTCGTTAACCACCCGAACCCGTTAAGACTACACTCAAATCTCTAAATCCGTGTCGATTTCACGAGTCGTGTCTAAAATTATCGTGCCTATTTCTACTCTCATTTTGCTTCTGAACTATTCATTTTAGCACATTTTAAGTTATACAAAATAGTGACACTTCACCAACCGTTGAAATATTGGAAAGAAAATTGCTCCCTTTATAGTGGAAAACAATCCACCAGGATTTTTACATCCGAAATTTAAGGATATGTGCAGTGTGTAGTTGACGATGTAATGTGTTTAAATGAATAGTTGATGAGATAAAATGAAAACCAAGATCAAAGTTTAGGGGGGAAAATGTAATTAAATCTATTTCCTTAGTGTGTTAATTTCAAAGTTTACAGGTACTTTGTATTCACAACAAATTATTGTTAAAAATCTTAATTTTATGTTGTCTGATATGGAATCTCACTTTGCATTCCGAAAGATTAAGGATTTTTTATAGCGACAATTGGCCATTAAGTCTACATCAGTGTCTTTTTTTTTTTGTCTTGCAGTCCAATCTAAGTTAATCATATATTTTTAATAACCAATGTATCCTTTGGTCACTCACGCTATTAATGAGCAAGTTTTCAGCCTAATTGGTCAATTATAACACAGTTAGGCTTGTCAATTGTGTCAAGTAAGACAGCTTTGTATCAGATCTTAACATTTGCATGCGTGTTAAAAAGTACTCCACTCATACGCGATTTGTTTATTAATTCATGTTTCACCAATCGGATTCGTGTCATGTATAATCAGTATATAAACGAATTGTATTGTACATTTTTTTTAATTAATTTCATCCATACCTAAAATTCGTTTATTGTTAACTTATTTGTGAAACTGATGGTTTTATATCGTGTTTATGTCATTTTTTAACACTCCTAACCACAACTGCTCAACCATGGTGTTAGTTCATTCTTCTCAATATGACCCTTCCTTTGACTTTGAATGTACATGAAATTTCATTATTACAATTTTTGCCCAATTAGAAATTATGTTAAATATACAGCCTAGCTATGGATATTCTTTCCATCATTCTTTCCACAACCAAGGGTTTGAGTTGTTAATACCTTGGCATCTCAAGTTTGAGTTTT